TAAGTACTTGCAGATAGCAAGTTACGCGGTAAAAAATGCACACTAGAATGAAAATGGACGTTCGGTAAAGCCATGAGGATAGCTGCAAAGTGCACGATATGATATAACTGGCATACTTGTTCCCAAAGAAGTGTATTTGGGAGGCTCCTGTAGCATACCACCATATCCTGTATATACCCTCAAGGGCAAAAGAAGGGAGGACAAAAATGCAGAGGAGCTTCAACGATTTCTGCAAGAACCAGAAGTTCACATTTTCAGTGACACCAAGAAACATTAAAAGAACAAAAAAAACAATGCAGAATCTGTCTGAATCTGATCTGTCTAATACTATTTTACAATCCATAACCAAAGAACAAACTCAATCAAGATTTAAGATTGAATCTTCCACTGCAGAAATGTGCAAATTTGACCCTTTAAGATGCTAAATATGAAAAAAATAGATGCAATCATGTGAAGCTCGGTATCCCCCAGAATATCTGGACTGAATCTGTCTAGTACTGTTATTCTACAACTCCCGCCCAAAAGAAACAACTCATTGAGACTTCAAATTGAATATTCCATTCCAGAATCGTAAAAATCGTTGGCCCATAAGAATGCTAAATATGAAAAAACTAGATGCACCGTGCGATCCCCGGCACCCTCTCGAATCTGTCTGGATTGAATCTGCCTAATACTATTCTACACTCTACACAAAAGAAAGAAGTCATGAAGGTTTCAGATTTGCATCTTCCACTCCACTTATGCAATGATTTCAAATGTTAGTCATCTGCTTTTCGAGGTACAAGCTTTAGTATTATACATGCTTGGATCTGTCAAACCAGATATCTAACTGGGTGTTCTTAACCAATTTCTATTCATTATGGTTACAATCATTCGTCTGTTTCTCTTGTACCATGTAGAAATATGCAATCCGTCCTCCCCCCCTCCCCCCCCCCAAAAAAAAAAACTTCAAAATCATCAAACTTAATAATAATTAATGACAAAAAATGGCTTTTTTTTTTTTTACTGGGTTCTAATGAAATTCTTTAAAAATTTTGTTAGAGGATATAAAATATAAGGATCCATACTATCTTGCATAGCTATTGACCAACTCTTTCCGAGCATATATCATTCTGGTTACAATTTAACATAGAACCACAGCCAATTCTGATTAATAGCTTAGTCCTACCTAATGATCCATACTAATCTATGTTATATAACTGGTAGACAACTCTAATAACAGCATATGTTTTTGGCTTACAAACTAACACATCTATTATATGAGACAAAAAAACTGCGGAAGCATCTTCAAAATCATCAACCCCTGGTTAAATTGCTTCATGATTCATGGAGATTAAAGAGAATGATTCTAAAGAATCAAAACGAAAATTTACTGCAGAATTAGATACAAACATTTTCAGGTTCCCAATTCAATCATTTCACTAACTAATTAGCCAACAAAAAGCAAATACCAAGTTATCGACAGGAACAAACCTGAAGCTCCCTCTCATATCCATGTCTAACTTTCTCACTCAAATCACCCAACTTATCCAGAAACAGGAACCTCCTGAGTCCATACCTGCGAGCCCAACAAGACAAACACACAAAAGAAATGGCGGCAAAAACAGAAAGAGACAACTGAACCAGTGCATCATAAGGTCTCCTGTGCTTATTATCACAATCAGAGCAGAGAAGAACGAAGTGGGAAACCAGAGGAGAACCCACTGCGAGGAGGAAGAAGACAGACCATGAGAACCCAGCTTTCCATAAACTAGACTGATCTAAGCAGACCCACGAGAGACAAGATCCGAAGCTCTTCAGCTCAAACCCGTATTGGTTTAAATTTGACTTGGTTTTGGACAATAGAGGGTTGATTCTTCCTTCATCTTCCATAGCTTCGGAATTTTGATTGAATTCAGAATCTGGGTCGTCGAGAAATTCATATGGGTAGGTTGATGGGTGGGCATTGATTTAAAAAAGAGACTCCATCATCAATGGGAAAATGAGATGGTGACTTGCTGTTTCCAGTTTCTTGCCCTTTGGATTTCCGTGCGATATTAGGAATATTTTACGCAATTCTGGGGGTCACTCTGTTGTATATTCTAAATTTAATTAGAGGGTGTTAGAATTAGTTTCAATTTTAGTCAAACTATTTTTTGAAATTTTGACTTTTTTTCTTTAAATTAACGGGAAAATATTGTAAGTAAAAAAGAAATTTCTAGTTTTTGTAGTAACAGTTTAAGAAATTAACGTGTAATTTTATAGGATATATAAATTTAGTGTTGATTATATCTCTGTCTTAAATTTTCTTAAATTAATATTTATTTTTCAAAATTCTTTTCATTCATTTTTACATTTATGGTTTATATTTTCTAATTAATTTTTTTTGTTATTCAATACAGATATTAATATTTCTTTCAAATTATATTTTTTTTACGTTATAAAAATTTAATTTAACTATATTTTAACTGCATCAATAATAAAAAAAATATATTAATTCAATTTTTTTTTATAAAAAAAAAACCAATAATTATTGTTGCCAATTTTATAAGAAAAGTTTAGGAAGAAGAAAAATAAATAAATAAATAAATAAAGCTGGTTGCTTTCTTGCCACGTTGATTTTTGGATTAGCTTTGTTCGTGGCCCGTCACTAAATATTATTGAACGTTGAAACCGACCCTTCCAATTTTAAAATTCAAATAAATTTCTAGGGCAATCTTCTTTAATATTTAATTTATTTTGATGGAATCATTGTATTTGTTTTTCATGTATAAGAGAAAATAATGTGTTATGTAAGTGACCAAACTTTTCTTGGCATTTGACAATTTATAAATATATATATATAAATATTTATGTACAATATAGTATATATATATTTTTAGGTTAGGTAATAATTACATTTTAATTTTTTAAAAAGTAAATTAATATAATTCAAATGAATTAAAAATTCGCGTAAGCAGTAGAGTATATGATTTAATTTAATATAAAACGAATAACTTTATTAACGCGTAACATATCGCAAACTTTTGTGAAGAAAACAAAAATATCTATAGGAATATTGAATCGACTACGCATAATTATTATCAGTTCGTACTGTAAGCTGTTCAGTTAAATTATGCAACAAATATAATCATAATGTTTAATTGTCACTGTTAAATTTAAAATTTTTAATATACTGCGGATATTAAACTATGTTATTTGCACTAAATTTATCGTACGTGCTTTTAGATTAAAAAAAAAATTACTAAAATAAAAACTTTGATTATTGTTAATTAACACATCAACATCTCAAATTGTCAACATGAAGTAAACAAAAACCCAAGTTGATTGTGTTCTAATTTAATCGAGACATTTTGTATTTCTAAATATTTATAATAATATTATGGTTTGAATTAGTATACACAATCTTAACAAGATATATATATTTTTTAAAAAATAAAATATTATTTATATAATAAAACGTAAATTATAATAATATCACTATTTTTTCATGAGATAAATTATTAAATATAAATTTTTAAGTTTTATATTGACGTGGAATCCATGGTCAATATTGTGAAAAAAGAAGTCACGCAATTTCAATTAGCAAAAAAAACTTAATAAAGTAGATAAATTTTTTCTACTTAACGAATAATTAACACGTGATTGAAATTAAAATAATAAAAGTAAATAAATTGATTAGAAAATAAAAAAAAAATCATAAATTAAAATCAATTCAAAAAAATATGCTAACAACAATGCTACAAGTTACCTTGATAAATACATATTAATTTTTACTCAATAAGAATATTAAAAAAAATATTACTAGTTGAAATTAATTTTATAATTTTATTGTCTCATACTTTTACTAATACAATAATAAATTGAATATTTATTTACAATATAGGCATTATAAATAATAAAAAAAATAATTTTATAATTAATAATAAAAATTATATAAAAAATTAAATATAAATTATAATAAAAAAATTATAACTAAAATATCATATTATAGAGTCGTCCGTTTCTATTATTGTTTTCATGTGTGAGATAGTTTGTCTAGAAACATTGCAATTTTATTTTAGTATGGAATGGTAGCTGGCTTTTTTTATAAAAAAAATAGTATATATTTATATTATATTATATATATATATGTATCTAATTTGGATATTGGACAAACATAATCAAGACAAATACAATTTGACATGGTATAGTTTTTAAGGGTAGTAAGGTGAAAAGCTGTGGCCAATTGTAAATTTCCTGCTTACGGTGAGCTGATGTCATATCTAAAGACTGGTCGTTCTTTGGTCTACCAAATAAAAATAACTACTCTCGACCACAGAGTATCAGCCCACAAACCGCCGTTTCTCGGTCGTTGATTTGTCCAACAAATGAAAACAACTAGGCCCGATCACAGAATATCCGTCCACCAAGCCGCCATGTCTTTTTATTTCCGCGTAACAAACGACAAATCCATCCTACTCTCTCTCTTCTTACCAGTAAACCAGAAAATGAAAAGAAGAAAAAAAAAATCCTCTCTCAATTTATTAGCTGATAGTGGAATTCTTCTTCTCCACCTCCCCTTTCTTCTTCGTCTTTTATTCTTTTCCTATTTCTGAAGCAGTCGGAGGTAAAAATGGCTACAGCGCTCTCTTCCACGGCGTCATTTGCTATCTCAGCATCCTCAGTTAAAGCCAGGAACTATAGTTCTTCGTTTCGTTTCAAATCTCGAAACCCCTTGCGATGTTGTTGTCCTCCGTCTTCTCGTCCATTGCTCTCCAGGTATGCTACTGCCCTGCTACTGTCTTCTGTTTGGTTCCTGAGAAATTCCTTGAAGGACGCGAGTAATTTCGTTTTCTCCGCCTTTAGCATTGATCTGTTTTTTTTTTTTTTCCGGAAATTGAGCAGATCACCTCCGTTGATTTGCCAGACATTTTGATGAATCTGAGATAACTTATTTGTATGCCAAATTGCCGAAAATTTTGGAAATGAGAAATTTGCATTTTGTCGTATTCGGCCAAAATGATGGCAATGAGAATTGTTCGTCATGTCAGATGGTATTTTAGTCAAAATTTGGACTCTAATGTGCAAATGCTTGAATGTCCGTGCTTGTTCTCGTGTATCTCATGATTATGGATGCTAGAGTACCTTTTTGAGACTTTTGGCTCGACTCCGTTTAAGAAACAAAAGTTAGCTCGTATTTTTTCCTTTTACGAGTTTTTAATGGAGTAGCCAGTAACTAGCTACGCCATGTTTTCTCACTGTCCGCATATGCATTGAAGAATTTGGATGATTAGGTGTCCTCTGAAAATGGTTTCGTCAATTTCTATTTTAGGGAATGGTTTTTGTTTCTGAAGTTCTATATATATTGTAAATTTAGTAGGAAGTCCTGCCGAATTCAAGCTACAATACTGCAAGACAACGAGGAGAAAGTGGAGGTGGAGGAATCATTCCAAACCAAGAGTTTTCTCGATGATGAGGAGAAAGATAGAGTTGATGAGTCGCCCTTGAATTCTTCATCCAGTGCTTTGGAGAGGTGGGTTATCAGGATCGAACAATCTGTGAATATCTTCCTTACAGTAAGTCTATCATTTCTTCAGTTTTTTATTTTTATCTGATTTTCTGCAGCTCTTCTTTTAATTTTGTAATTGGAAATGTTAGTTTATTATTTGTTCCATATGAGATGCATTTGGTCCAGGGCTCTTAGGTTAGAAGCTTAGAGCAACTCTTTCTTAAGAAACCCCTTTCTCTGAGAGCTTGATTGTCTATCTTGGTATGATGTGCATGATGATGATGCAGAATTTCACTGCTCCTTTTCAACTTTTGTATGATGCTATGAGAATTTAATACATAACATTAAATCATAGAATGGACTGGTTTCTTGCTGTTTATTTTTTGCAAAACTCGAGTATCTGTTAGAACATTCTGTATCCCAAATGCCAAATCATATGACAGTATAAGCTGTTCAGGTGATAAAGATATTGCAACTAAGAGATTAGAAATGTTCTGAACTTCACTTGTTAACTATCTGCATAAAAAAATCCGGCTATAATTCATTTTTTCCTTGAGATGCTAGGAAATTAGTTGCATGGTTGGATTCTTGTCCTTCATAACAAATTCTATTGCAACTGTAAGATTACAACTTAGCCATGTTATTCCAGGACTCAGTGATAAAGATACTTGATACACTGTACCATGATCGACACTATGCAAGATTCTTTGTGCTGGAAACTATTGCCAGAGTTCCTTATTTTGGTGAGTTACATGCTTGATTTAAATTTTATCTGGTTTTCAAAATGGAATTTTTCGCCCATATTAGTATCTATTGTTCAAAGAATCATAATCAAGGTTTTGAAATTCCAAAAATATTTTGGGATACCATGGAATAGTCATATCAGAAGTTGATCACATTCATGTGGCAAATATTGTTGAAATCCTCTCAAATATGTTAATGTCCAGACTACACACTAGTAATCTATATCTGAGAGCATGGTTTGTTTGATATAAGCATATGGGATGGAAGGAGGCTGTTTTTCGGGATTATTGCATGGTTGTTAAGGATTCTACAAGTGGGAAAATAACACTTTTTGTTAAGGTGTATCAAAGAAGAAAGAAAAATTCTGTTCTTAATAATTAGTTTGTATATGTATAAAGTGTCTTTGTTATGTTAAATATTCTGCATTATTTATATCAGATGTTTGTAGTCAGTGAGTCTAACAATAAGACAAGGAGGTGGTTCCTAAGGTAATTTAAACAACTTTCGGAATAACTGCCTCTCCTGTATTGCAATGAATCCTGTTGCTATACTCTGGACAGATTTATTTAGGAAGAAAATATATTTTTTTAAAGAAAAAACCCAATATTTTCAGAGAGCACTAAGGGAATGCAAACCATATAAAATATATTTATAATTCTAACAAAATGTTGATAAGATTTCCAGAACCTTCACTAATGCAGCAGTTGAGCTCTAATAAAAAACTTTAAGTCTTGAACTATAAATCTTTAAAATTTGCAAACTTAAATTCTCTTCCCTCAAAAATCTATTGTTCCTCTCTTTCCAAATAGCTCAAAATGTACCTAAGAGTATAAACCTGATGAAGTGATTCTCAATTTGAGTACCCTTTACGCCTAATCTCCTCTCTCTCTCTATGCCTGCAATAATTCAACTCAGCCCCTATAAGCTCTATGCCAAAGACCAGAGGCAGTGCATGGACAGACACCAAAGGACGATGTAATTGCCTGTCTCTGCACCATTTTTGCATAATTAACATCCTTTCACCGTAATATTATCCTTGCCGATCAATTTATCCGAAGTTAAGATGCGTTCCCACACTGCTTCGCATGTGAAGAATGTCAAACTCTAGTAGTCGCATTCACCTTCCAAATCATTTCTGATGGGAACTTATTACATGGCTCCCTCCTTTAGTTGGATGCTTGTAGTACCACTTGATTGAGAAAAGACCCTTCGAATTTAGAGCCTAAATAAGTACATTTTTGCTTTCACCGGAGACTGCCACTGGAGAAAGCAATTTGAAAAGTTTCATGTATTCATCAATCTCCCAATTGTTCATTTTTCTAATTAATTTAACAATCCAAGTACCACCACTATGAATGCTGAACCGATAAATTAGATCAAAGATAGGCAAATGAAGAAAAACAACTCATAAACATTCACAAATACGTACTAAATTCATTGTCCCATAACTAGATCCATCGGTAAGGACCCTAACAATGATGCACGGATGTATTCAAGTTTTAACTTTCTTTTATTATTAAGTAATCTTTTCTTTTTGTTCAGACTATTTGGTTCCGGCCTGGGTTGTTTGAATGCTATAGAATGTTCTAATCGCCTTTCACAACTTGTCTGTGCTGTTTATTTTTCATGGCAGCTTTTATGTCTGTGCTGCATATGTACGAGAGCTTTGGCTGGTGGAGACGGGCAGATTACTTGAAAGTGCATTTTGCTGAGAGCTGGAATGAGATGCACCACCTGCTTATCATGGAGGTAAGAGTCTTTCTTCCTCTGCCTTCAATGTGATTATTTTTCTTTTGAGATATTGACTTCTAGCTAAAGAAATGGGTGTAAAATTTCTTTTGTTACGTTGGATAAGAATCTGTGGCTTTTCTTATTTAATTGATGGTGTTCTACTTTGAGAGATAGATATCCACACACTCATGCAGATACACTCGAGTGTCTTCCTTTACTAACCTTTATTATACATTTTTGCCTACCATCTGTGCCGATTCTGGCATGAAATATTGTGGTACTGCATAGTTTACTTGATTTTTTGATATCATAGGCTTTTTGTTGCAGGAATTGGGAGGAAATGCTTGGTGGTTTGACCGTTTTCTCGCTCAACACATAGCATTCTTTTATTATCTCATGACAGTTTTCATGTATGCAATAAGCCCAAGAATGGCATGTAAGTACATCTGTTAATAGATATTTCTTCACACTGCATTTGGTTTACTTTCTATTTAATTTCTTTATGTCATATTAATATTAATATTAATATTAGTCTGCATAATTAGAACATAACATGTTGGGTTTTTATGTTGATGGTGAGATAACCTCCAAATTATAAGGTAAAAACTCAATTCCAGCCATTAAAGAATTCGAGATGAGGGTAGTGGTGACTCGAATACAATAAGTTTTGTTCTAATTATATATATTAAAATTAATATGAAATTACTAGCAATTGAACAGTAGTTAAATCGGAAGTAAACCAAACACAAGCCGTACTTCTTTGCAACTTCATTTCTCATTAACCCAACATTCATGGTCGTTCAGTCATCGTTAATGTTTATGATGTTTCTTTTATATATATGGATGAGAGAAAAAGATAATGTTGTCACCTGAGAACAAAAGCTTTATAAGACTCAAAATAACAAGAGATCCCCTGCACCATTGAGCCAAAAGGATGACACAAAAACCAAATCAGTCAAAATATCAATAGGCCCTCCCAATCCTCTACAAAAACAAGAGGATGACCCTTAAAACAAAGTACCTAAAGTTTGGAACCGAGAATTCATAACTCCACCAAAAGGAAAAGTTAGTCCTCAAATGCTCTTCTATTCCTTTCCTTTTAAATGGTCCGCATGATATGTAGGGGACTAGGGAGATCAGTCCTTTTTTGTGCTTATCTTTACAAATGTCATGCCATGCCTAGACTTCTTTAGCCACAGAATTTGATGACGCTCACCCCAGCCCGAGGAACTTGAGAGCAATTAACGACGGTTGATATGAAAAGAGAGAATGCAATAGAATACAGTTTTTAGTCTCTTCAACCTTTGACAAGGATCTTTTCGCTCCTAAAAGATTATTAATCATGAGGATACGACCTTTGAGGATAACCATCAGCTTCCAAAAGACCTTCCAAGGGAAGTTAAGTAAGATCAATATCTCCTAAGCTAAATGAGAGTAGAAAGATTTCAAGTAAAAATCCACCAGATCCACCAACTTCTAGAGCCCACATTGGCCTATCATCTCCCTCAGAGTGGATGTTGAAGCGAGAAATGTGTTGAAGGAGCCTATTTCTCGGTCATTCAGGTTTCTCATAAAATCAATGGTCTGCACCATATTTCCAGAAATTGAGGAAAAGAAATTGCTCACAAAATCTTCTTTCCTACCAGTAATTGAGAAGACATGGGAAACTAATTATATGAAGCCCCACCTTCTCACCAATTATCGTGTCAGAAGCTTAACCTATTGTTGTTGCCAAACCATTTTGATGTACTCAGACAATTCATCCCATTCATAGTTAATTTTCTTCCAGAGACCCACATCATGAGTTGCTGTACTATCTGGCCCATAGGTACCTAAAACTCTAACAACTTGTTCCCTAAAAATGTGCACCCTTAAAGGAAATGTGTCACCCTAAAAAACTTACAAAAGATAAGATACGAAAGTTCCATCAAGTGATAAATTAGTAAATATCCGATCGAGTGAAATCAATTAAAACAATCTCATGTCCACAAAAGTTCAAAGAAAACAGTCCAAAGTAATCCCAGAACTTCCAATCTCCACAAAATTTGAGTAAACTTCACAAAGCAGCATTGAGCCGATATCATTGAATGCAAGAAAAAATTATATGGTTCTCAAAAAGAAAATTAGTAAAAAAGAAAACCAAATAAGAATTCAAGTTCCAAAAGAAATTGTGGAAATCATGCAACAAGACTGCTGAAGTGAAGCCTGCCAAGAGGACCCTACTGGAAGAATTTGCTTATGCTTCTTCTATGGCGCGCATGAAGCTAACTCGTTTCCTACAAAACTGGGTATGTGAATTCCTTGTGAGACGCAATGAATAACATACATTTACCTAAATACTTAATCACTTTGTTAGTCCATTCGATTACATATTTTTCCATACATGTAAGGTGTGTATACATACATATATATATATATATACATGCATGTCTACGTATGCATGCATTTCTTGCACTATTCAACATATTTATTATGATTGGCAAATGATGGGGAGCCAGATGTGTCCATATATTATGATTGAGAAATAATGGGGGTTGGGTCATATTGGGTATGGGCAAATGATGCAAAGATGCGGATAGTAAGAAATAATTAGTAATTGTTGTTAGACAAATTAATCATAATTTGTCTATTTAGGTTTTAAGGAAAACCTTAAATATCACATCTAGAATTATTAGGTATCAAGCCTAAACTTTGATTAAATTACACTATTAAATATCAAGAAAATCTTCTAAGTATTTTATTGAATAGTCGAATGTTGATCTTAGAAGGAGATTATAGAGGAATTTCTAGAGTATCAAGTAATCCTTCCTGAATAGGACTAAGCTAAATGCTAGTATTAACAAGATTAGAATTCTGCCTCTAATAAAGTAAAGCAAAAGACTTCGTAGTGAATTCATACAGAGCACTGCACCTTAAACCTCATAAAACCAGAAAACAGTTTCTGTAGAAGTTTTTCTTCACTCAAATGCCCCAGAATACTCATTGTAGTGAAACCTAGTACATTTTCTAATCTATGTTATCTGATGTTAATGTATTCATTATGGTGGTGCAGATCACTTTTCTGAATGTGTAGAAAGCCATGCATTTGAAACCTATGACAAATTTATCAAGGCCCAAGGAGGTAGGTGGAGAGGTTTTCTTTCCAAATGTTAAGCCTTGAGACTTCCATTGCAACAAAATCAAAAAGGTTTTCATGCGTGGGGAGTTTCTTTACTCAGTTCAAGACATAAAGGATGATTTTTTTGTCATGTCACATCATACCTACAAGCATAAAGAATATTAGCACATGAACTTCGTAATGCAATCCAAATATTACATTCGTTTCCATTGTCTCTCTGCCAATGCTAATTTGATTGTTCCCTTCTGATGGTAGATGAGTTGAAGAAATTGCCTGCCCCTGAGGTTGCTGTCAAATACTATACTGGAGGTGACTTGTACTTGTTTGGTAAGTTTGTCTCGTGAAAGGGACTGCTCGTTTAGATTTTAATTTTTTTAGATTATAGATAATTTGAGGCTTAGAAGTTGTTAAAAATAAGTGTTTATTTAGTGTATCTCTATTTAACATATAGTCAGCTCCTTGTGTTTGGTATAATGTACTTATAAGTTGAGAAATCAGTAAAATGATTAAAGAAGACATATGGATAAAAATGTTGTAATGTAAAAGGACACATGAATAAAAAGGGCATTTTAATAAAAAAACACAGAGAGAAGTGAGCTTTTTACATGGTTTATAATCTAAAGAAAAAAAGTTACTTTTTTAGCTTTTTAATTTAACCTCCCAAAGGAAAAATCAAATTGAACAACTTCAAAAAATTTTAACTGTCCTCCCACAAATGACATGAGCTTAACAACTGCATATTTCTTTTTCAGATGAATTCCAAACATCTAGACCTCCAAATTCTCGAAGGCCAAAGATAGGTAAAGAACATGTTTTGAAAATGGTTATTCTCAAAATATGCTAAACCATTTAATTGATTGATTTTTTTTCCTCGTTAATTTTTGCTTTTATCGCAGATAATCTGTACGATGTGTTCTTGAACATCAGAGACGACGAAGCTGAGCACTGTAAGACAATGAGGGCCTGCCAGATTCACGGAAATCTTCGTTCTCCTCATTCATCTCCAGAGGATGGTGCTGATAACGAGTCTGGTTGCATTCTACCTCAAATAGATTGTGAAGGTATTGTAGATTGTGTAAAGAAATCTGTAACATCTTCTCCGGCAAGGCAGAAGTAAGATCTCGAGGAACTCACTTAGATTTACACACACAGCAAAAAAAGAAATGTATTAGTGCATGCACACAACTAGGTACTGTAATTTGAAAATTAGATTTACTCTCGTTATATGAAAAATGGTCCAAATTTTTAGCTAAATAAAAGAAAAATAGATTGTTTTTGGTTAATAAGGAGGATCTCTTTTGTGTTAATTCATCTTAGTATTCGTTATTTATGTAAAAAGGACTTATTTGCGTTATTGGAGTGCATATTACCCACAGGTTAATATCTAAATTTTAATTTCTGATCCTTATTTATAGCATTAACTTGCCTGATTACTGGTTATTATTGATTTAAAAAAATATAAAATTATGGAAAATACTGGAAGAATAAACTATGAAATATAATTTTGTTATAAACAATAATAAATGAATGTCTACAAATTTTAGATTTGAGTTGTATTTATATTTGGTTCATTAGCAGAAATAAAATAACCCACAAATCTTGATTTTTTTTTTCTTAAAGAAAAGGCAAATTGGTCCAACTAAATCATTTCTTAGTTTACACTTTGCACTGATCGTATTGGTTTTCATAATATTATTAGGAATTTAATGTTTTTAATGGGTTACGAAATATCTTTTTAGAATTTTAAGTATTTTATAATTCATTACGAGATAATCTTTTAGTTATTTGTAATGAAAATTTATGATAGTTATCACGTCATTAACTTCGTATGATGCATTTCCCACTTCACTATTTTATTACTCGAGTGTTCGGCATGGATTTAGAAAAGGTTTAAACGACGTCGTATGACTGGCGGGTGTGTGGGGGGTAACGGATTATAATCGGTCACGTCTATCATTACTCGTTAGTACAAGTAGAAAAGCTAAAAAGAAAGGAAAAGAAAACGAGGATTTAAAACGAGGTGGCATTAAAGACGACGTGGTTTCATTTGGCAAATAAAGTTCAAAAGAAAAAAAATTAAATAGAAACCGCCGGCCTACCGACGTGGGCCGTTTTCCCCCTCACAAAAAATCCTTCCGTCACATTTTCTGTAGTAAAAATGTCCTCGGCACACAGACTTTCATCGCTCAAAGCACACGCCATTTTGGTCTCCTTCTTCTTCTTCTTCTTCTTCTGTACGGAGACCTCCATTGACTCATACAGAGTCAGCTCTGCTTCTCACACCAACCAAACAAAAAGCAACTTACAAGCAAAACGACAGAAATGGGAGAGAGCTCCTTGTGCGCAGCAGCAGTGCTGGTTCCCGCCGTGAAATCGGAGCTATCGCCTCTATCTCCAATGCCTTCGCATGGAATCGCCTTGCTTCCGCTGCCGCCGTTGGAAGATTGGATTAAGGTGGAAACGGAGGAGGAGGAGGAGGAAGGGGTAGACAAGGATATGTTTTGTCCGATATGCATGCAGATCATAACGGACGCGTTCCTCACGGCATGCGGCCATAGCTTCTGCTACATGTGCATCGTCACTCACCTCCATAACAAGAACGATTGTCCTTGTTGCTCTCGTTACCTTACTCCAAGCAATATCTTCCCTAATTTATTGCTTAACAAGGTCTCTCTCTCGCTTTATTTCTTTATGACTTCTTTTACATCATAATGCTTGTTACTTAGAAATGAAGAAAGAAAATAAACCATTGGAAACCAGTTTTTGTTCTCCAATTCTTTGCTCGATTTGTTTCTTAGTCCGTTCGTGTTTGTTAGGATCGGCTTCTTTGTGCTTCGACGCTGATCAGTAGGGCTTATTTAGTGCTTGTAACTAGTAGTTCTAAGGAGCTCTGTTTAATATTTGTATTTGGTTAAAGAAAAAAAATTATTAGTGTCTTCGCCGAGTTTTTATAAGCACTTTAAGAACTATCATGCCAATTTTTAGGATGTTATTTTTTTAATCCAACTAATTTATATAGTGTTTAATATTTGCTTACTTAAAAACACTAGATGCTTTAAGTTACTTAGAGAGGCAGATTCTTATTTAAAAAATAAGAAGTGCTGATTGTAAGAAAAAAATAATTATTTTTTGTAAGAAATATATTTCTCATAGAATTTCAAAAACTTTATGTTACTATATGTTGTTAATTTTTAAGTGATTATGGAACTAGTATTTAAGTGAACTTGTTAGACAATAAGATCCTAAAAGATTAGGAATTAAGTGTTTCTTTTTAAGTTTTAAAATCAAATTTAGAACCTGATAACCACTATTTAGCAAATGGCAAGATTGAACCAAAATGCTTAAAACTGCTTATAAGTATAAAATAAGCAAAAATATACATCTTCTTACTTAATTATTCTTTTATATCCTTTTAAAATTAGTAATATATTCATAAAGTAATATAATTGATAAGATATTTATAATAAATATATACGTTTTAATTAATTTACAATAAAAATTTTGTAATTAACATTTTATTCAAATACGTAATTGTTTATTTTTTAAATAAAAACTTAACTGCTTTAAGTAACTTAAAGCAACCTACTAAGTAGCACATTTCTTCAGTAATCTCAAACATTCTCTTTGTTTGGTTGCAGACAAACTGTAACATGCAGCTGAAATGTCTGTTTGTCTTAAATATTAAATGTATATGGGTAATATTCATTTGCGTTTGTCTATACCATTCATAGATACTTAGAGAGCCAATTATTTTTTATATCTTACATGAGCCACATGCAGCAACATATAAGTTTCTAATAGAACTTGTAAGAGAAACATTTACAATAAAGTTATTGAATAAAGGAACGCAGAGGACAATTGATAGGAAATAGAGAATGCAAGAAATATATCCTGTTGTCATATGATTGTTCCAAGATATTTCAGATTGACAAAAGAGAATGAAAAGGATGAGGAACTAAAAAGTTTGATATTTTTGTTCTCTTTTGTATACTATGCCTATATGCCGTAATTTTATGGTATTTGCTCTGAGGATGTGATTGTTTTCTGGGAAATCAGGGTAATACTGTCTTTTCAATTTGGCTTATTCTGGTAACTGGCATTTTAAGATATCTCTTCTTGCATGCATTCTTGGATCTTGTATTTTTTTGCACTAACCTAAGTGAAGGGCTAACTTGATGGATTTTAACCTGACATGAATATGTTCCATATATAAGTGCTTATCCTAAGAAAAGTCTGAGTGCAATGGCAGACACGCTTTTGTGAAATTTAGTTTCTGTTATAGCTCTCCATGGATGGCAATTCTGTTATAGCTCTCCATGGACGGCAAAATGAGAGTTACTTCTCCAGGTGTCTCGTTTCGGTTAATAACCTTAAGCATGGGTTTTAAACAATATCTATGTAAACTGTTGCAGTTACTGGAGAAAAATTCAGCTCGGAAAATAGCAAAGACTGCATCTCCTGTTGAACATCTTCGTCAGGCACTACAACAGGTCAATCATTTATAACCAGTTTCTATTTTTTCAAGAGGCACTTTGTTTACTAAATAGCTGGAGCCTATTTTCTTTCCATGGTAATGTACGCTATATCTCCTAGTCATTGGTATCCTATGATGCATTGGAGCTCCTCTGGTTCCAGTTAGGATCATTCTTCAGTTAGTTAATGTCAATCATTTGTGGGAAGATGTCTATGGATGTGTTTGTTCATACTTCTTTTTGGAACTTTTTTAAGATGTGTGTAATTCTCTTCTCAGTTTCATTTAATAGAAAGATTCTTGTTATGCTTAGCAGGGTCGTGAAGTCTCAGTTAAGGAGCTAGATGGATTGTTGTCTCTCCTTGCAGAGAAGAAGAGAAAAATGGAGCAAGAAGAAGCTGAGAAAAATATGCAGATTTTACTTAATTTCTTGCATTGTCTTAGGCGGCAAAAGCTTCAAGAGCTCAATGAGGTTGTTCTCAAATTCACATGTTTTTTATGGTGGCATTTTGTGCCAAGTTAAGCATTCATTCTTCTACATCAGGAGGCATGTTCTCTTTTAGTTGAAAATTTTCCTCTTGAAGCTATGCAATGTTTAACTTTGTATCAGCATATTTTCTTGGGATCAGGTAATCATGTCATCAGTGACTGGACCTCACTGGATAGACTATATAATTAGTTGAAGAAGTAAATATGTTTTATATGTAATATGAAATACAGAAGATTATATGTGCATATGTATATGTCACCTATAAGATTTATATTCAAGCGTCTGATATCTTGACTGTAGAATCCCGTGCTTTATATTAATTTCTGGTCTATTCCTCAACTCTAATTTTTTATACTACCCAAAAAAGCTCAATGGTTTGATAGCTGGAAGTTCTATTATTAATGTTGATAAAGTGGTAAAAAAGTTTTGTGTTATCACGTTAACAGAGTTACTGATGGTTTCTCTTTCATAGATCCAAGCTGATCTTCACTATGTTACGGAGGACCTAGATGCAGTAGAGAGGCATAGAAGGGAATTATACAGAACAAAAGAAAGATGCTTGGTAGAGCACATGATGCTTGATAACTCTGTTGGAGCTAGACCCTTGCAATCAATGGTCGATAAGAATAGCAATGGCAATGTTCCTGGTTCATACAGCAGACTTAGTTCTGGAAATGTGCTGAAAAAGAAGGCTGATGAAAAGGCTCAAGTGGTTTCTCAGGGCATGCAAATAAGGGATACTTATAGTGGACCAGACACACAATTTGTTTCTCAAGAAGGTTTTGCAAGGAAAACGCAGATCTTTGCACAGGTTAGTGTCTTCCATGATATTGCATCCAATATCTCAGCTGTTTTGAGAGAAAATTTGTATTCTGTACTTGAAAAGATTTATGGCTATATTTGGAATGATCCAAAATTTTTATGAAATTCATTTGCAAATTTAAGTTAATTCACATGGAGATGGTGAAAATATCCTTTAAATGATAAATGAACTTGTGTAGAATGCCATATGAGGTCAATTTTTTTAATATCCTGGTATAATTTGCATACTTTCTTAGTTAAACTAAGTGTGTATTTACAAATGAATTTTGTAGGATCTCTAGGTCTATTCTAAAAATAGCCCAAGGGTCCGTAGTTTGAACCAAGACACAGTTCCTTAATATCTGATGACCTTTAGTTCAGTAAAAACATCTCGATTGTTAATTCATTGACTCAATTGAATGGATGAGATTTGAGTTCAGAAATCTGGCGGTGATAAAAGGTGAAGGTATGACACCTTCAAGGCATTATACTTTAATCCCTCTTTGCTTATAAATAATGGAGAAGGTTCAAGCTATTTTCTGAGCATAGTGAAAGACTATTAACCATAACCTTCTTGCACATCCTGAAGAGTTGGGCTTTAGCGTTGGATTCTTGTGGCATATTTCAATATTTTATTTAAGGATGGGTATCTCTTTTTTTAGATAATATTTAAGGACATATATCTAGCTTAGTATGTAAGATGGCGTGTATGCATTAGATGAGCCAGTTCTCTTGACTGGCTACTATACTATATTTCCTTTATGCTGGTGTGAGATTAATGATCCCTGATGGTGGCTATACAAAGATTGCATTGCCAATTGCATAAAACATTATAGATAAGTCAGTACCAGTAAATCACAGCTTTAAATGATTGATTCATTTATTGGTTGGTTTTACTGTCTACTTCTCATAATCTTCTATTACAGTTTAACGACCTGCAAGAGTGTTATCTACAAAAGCGGCGGCAATGGTTGAGACAATCACATAACCATGTAGATAGGGACACAAAAGCCATAAGCAGAGAAGGTTATAATCCTGGCCTTGAGGATTTCCAGTCAGTACTGCATTCATTTACCCAATACAGGTGAACAATTTTTTATTTATGAAAACCATCTTATGTTACTCTGTTACAGTATGTCTATCTTATCAGCTTAGAACTAACTTGCTCTTTTATTCACTCATATCTTTTTGTCCAAATTAGTCATTTGAGGGTTATTTCTGAAATTCGACATGAGGATCTTTTCCACTCTGCCAATGTTGTTTCAAGGTGAGTCAGATTACATTACCTTCTTTCTAGTTTTAATCTATTCCATATCGTTCAGGGAATCAGGAAGGTATTTCAGGTAGCTCTTGTTTATTCATGATAACTATAAAATCACTGAGCATATGAATCTCATTTAAGTCATATGGATTGAGAATTAAGTATAACCTGAACTTTGTTGGCTTAAGGGCCTTCAATTTCTTTTTTCCTTCAAAAGTTGGAAGAAACGGAGCAATAATGGGATTTATAACTTCATTCTCTTTGAGATGTCCTTTCTTTTCTTTTATGTTTTAGCTTCACCAAAACAGCTAGCTTTATTGGTTTTCTTAAACTATTTTGCAGTATAGAATTTGATCGTGATGGTGAGCTTTTTGCCGCTGCTGGAGTTTCAAGGCGCATTAAAGTTTTTGACTTTTCCTCAGTAAGAGTTGGATTTCTGAATTTTATTTCAAGCAGCATAATATTTCTGGGACATTATTATGTTTTTCCTATTGCTAGCCACTCTTTGATTAGTAATATCCCTTTCAAGAGAGCATGTTGCTTAAAATAGGTTCAGGACAATTTTGAACTTGGCAAGTTTCAGTTATTATGTTGCACTGTTGTCAGCTTGTGCAATATGCCCTCTCAAGTATTTTTAACTGAGCAATAAAAGGATTTTACTTTGATTACAATTCTTAAGTTTTGGATTTTCGCTAGTCTTTAATGGTTCTGGATTGATTGTTACGCACATGATAGTTTTTCAAGATTTCTTTGATTGAGGTTGCCAATGATAACACCCGTTTGTATTTTAATCTTAATATTAGAGTACTTTCGTTCTTGCTTTCATTTACTTAAGATAGCATTCTCTTTGTTGGAGGTATTGCAGAACATTGCTACTGATGATTCCAGCTTACTAAATTATGCACCAAATTTGTATCTTCAATTGACCAATCAATATTTGCCTTTGGCATTTATTTCCAGGTGGTGAATGAACCATTAGATGTGCATTGTCCAATTGTAGAAATATCTGCAAGATCTAAACTTAGTTGCCTGAGCTGGAACAAGCACACCAAAAACAATATTGCTAGTAGTGATTACGAAGGAATAGTAACAATCTGGGATGTGACTACTCGCCAGGTATAGATAATATCTCATCAGAGGGTTCAATTTCATTATAAATTAAAGAATGCCTTAAGAAGGCCTTTTTTCCCTTGCAGAGTGTGATGGAATATGAGGAGCATGAGAAACGTGCCTGGAGTGTTGATTTTTCACAGACAGAACCTTCAATGCTTGTGTCTGGAAGTGATGACAGCAAGGTAGTTTATCTCCTCTTATTTCTATTGCATATAGTTCTGGTTATGTCCCGAGCAGGTTAGCTCAAGTGGTACAGAGCTATCTTTGGAGGGCTTATTGGAATTGGGCTCGATACTCTTTTCCTCTTTCCCCAGGGCGTCTGTTCTCCTTTACAATGTGGCAGAACAAAGAAGTTGTGTTATCTTGTTATGTGATGCAAGCAACAATATTGACAACCCATGGGCCATCAGATTGAGTAGAGATTGAAGTTCTAAATATGAAAAATCAAATTGAGGAATTCAGTGCTAGACTGTTGATCTTTCAGCATTGTCTAGTCCAAAGATTTGAGAATTATAGCTGCTTTTTGTAGCAGTTATTATTTCTCTGCTGTGACTAGCCTTTATGATAAAAATAGAGGCGAATTTTGAAATTTAATATAGATTTTTCTGGATGGCTGTCCTGAAGCTTCGAGGTCCTGTGGTTTTAACAAGTTATGGGAAGTTTTCTTTGAAAGAGATTGGTACATCTGAAATTAACAGATCAAAGGTTGCCATATCCTCAGATTAATGCAATTTCCAGTCAACAGGAGTTTTTTACAGTAAATCTAATGATTAAATCATCTTTCAGACAAAAAAAAAATGATGGTTCATTCATTTTAGCATCTTTTGCTTCATTGTATACTAATATATTTGATCAGATTTAAATTTTAGAACTGCTTTTATGTGAGTTTATGTCTACAGGTTAAAGTTTGGTGCACAAAACAGGAAGCAAGTGTTCTCAACATTGACATGAAAGCAAATATTTGTTCTGTCAAATATAATCCTGGATCCAGCATTTATGTGGCGGTAATTTTTTTTTTTTTTTTTTTTTTTTTTTTTTGATTCGGTAGTCCATGACGATCATAGATCTTTTGCTACCTTTTCCATGATCGAAGTTAACATGAGAAACTCAGCGGAGCAATTTTCAATAGCAGCAGCTTAGTGCTTGGCTTTTGATCTGATCTAAAAGACTATCTTATGATTGATATCATGAATTTTTGCAGGTAGGTTCTGCTGATCATCAGATTCATTATTATGACTTGAGAAACATCAGCCGACCACTTTTTGTGTTCAGTGGGCACAGGAAAGCTGTGTCATATGTGAAGTTTTTGTCGAACAACGAACTGGCTTCTGCATCCACTGACAACACCTTGTGCTTATGGGACGTGAAGGAAAATCTGCCAGTAAGTCATCTTGTGCTTATTAAAACATTATCATATGTGTTTGCATTGGACAAATTCATCTCCAAGGTTTTTGTTGTTCCTAACTTCCAGGTTATCTTCTACCAACTTCCAGCTTTGTTTATCTCTATCTATTAATCTTTTTTAAGTCCATATATCAATTTCTGGTTACATTTGCCCTGACTTTTTGAACTCTCTCCTGGTTGTAATTTTCTCAGCTACGCACTTTTAGAGGTCACACAAATGAGAAGAATTTTGTGGGTCTCTCGGTGAATAGTGAATACATTGCTTGCGGCAGTGAAACCAATGAAGTATATGTTTACCACAAGGTCATTACTCATAAACCCATTTCATTGATAATAAACTTTTTTGTTGGTGTGCATTAGCAAAAAACGAGGTTCGTCCTTTCAGATCCAAATGGGAGATTAAAAGAAGAGAGGGGTGAGAAGAGAATGAGGATAATTTTGATCTTCATAGCGAGTTATTAGTTCAAGTTATGGATTCTTTTATTTAATCTATATTCTCTAGGTATATTTTGTTGTGATGAGTAGTAATTCTTTTATTACTTCTCCTATTCTGGCCTTCAACCAAATCCTTAGTTCTGGTTGTTTGAGAGGGAAATGTAGGATAGAGGAGGGAAAAGGAATGAGGATTGTTTTAGGGATGACAAAGGAGTCTCAGCCTCCACTGGGGATGGAAATGGAATGAGAAAACCCAGTTATGGGTCCCATCCACCCTAGTGGATCAGATAGATGGGGGAAATTTTGGGTAGTGGTTAGAAACTGATAGAAATTTTTTCCTGCCTGGGTCGAGCAATGGGAATAGGAGAGACACCACACATGTCCAACACCTGCTATGCTAGTCATTTTTACATATTTTGTTTAATATGCTCTTTATATTTTTTTTATTTTAGCTTAAAAAATTATAACATATAATTAAATAAATTTTATAGATTAAATATTCATGGAGGCAAAAGTTTCACTTATGAAGTGGGATAGGGGAATATTTTTCTACCTGTTCTAGGTGTGAGATCGGAGAGAGTGGTGAAGTGGTGGAGTTGGGATTATGATTAGGATGCAAGGGTGGGGGTGGGGGGCCTCTCCCTCACCTTATACCGGTCCCAGTACCATCCTTGACTCCCAAAGTTATATCCCGAGGTGAAACATCTAACATTATATTACATGTCCAAATTATTTCTATAAAATATTTTTAAATAGATCAAATATAAGTTTATATGTAATAGAACTGCAATAAAATATTAATTTAAAATATATTGTAATTTTTTGTAATAAAATAATAAAAAATATATATAAAAATATAAGAAATTATATAAAATTACTTAGTAGGGTAGGATAGTAGATGTCCCTCTCATATCTGGGTGAAAGAGCTCCCATCCATGCTATATCATCACCTACATTTGCCCCATTTACATCCCATTACGGTGGGAACGGGTAGATAACCAGATTTCTCTATCCAATTGTCATCCTTAATTATTTTAAATGGGAGTTTTATTTTGTTCTGCGGTTAGTAATGTCTGAATGAGCTTTGTGCACACATTTTCCTTTTGTTGAATATAGCTCATCTACGTCAAGGCTTGATATTTTAGAGACATTAACTTCTTATTTACTTATCTCAAAATTCAAACTCAGCTGACAACTAGAGAATATATCTCGTAGTACTTAGAGCTATCCTTTTAAGATTAGGAGAGATAGTAGTTCCTTTCTTACTTTCCCTCATTTTCTCTCTGCCAAAATAGACTTAATTTTACGTTGGAAGAGGAAAAAGATTCCTGTGTTAATCTTGTTTATCATTGTATATCAAAAAAGAAAATCTTATGTACCGCCAAATTAATTAAAATAAACTTCAAAACGAATTTAATAGATTTAACCGGAGTATGTATCAGTCCTGTAACTTGTTAAACTTATTTATATCAAATTACTTTTACCTTTTCTTTTTCTGCTTAAACCAAATGACTGTTGGTTACATCTTCAATGACATGTAGCACCCTATCATGAACTGACTTTTTAATATTGGTATAACTTGCAGGCCATCTCCAAACCTCTAACTTTCCACAGATTCGGATCTGAGATCGAAGATGGTGATGATGACATGGGGACAGGATCTTACTTCATTAGTGCTGTGTGTTGGAAGAGTGAAAGCCCATTAATGTTAACTGCAAACAGTCAAGGAACAATTAAAGTGCTTGTACTTGCAGCCTGAACGGTACAATAAGAACATGCTTCTGAAATTCTCATCCATGATATTTAATGACGAAAAATCAAATTGGTAGCTAATTCACCATGAAACATATCTTAGTCCTTCTTGTCCTTGACAGTAGAGCTGTTATGTTCGGTACTTAGAAAATACATGTAACGGTCCTGGAATTTAAATGAATATGTATGTATTAAAAACCTTAAATGCGGAAGCGTAATAAAAATTTTGATTAACATCCTTTACACAATAATAAAAAACGTATTCAAAACATTAAAGAATAAGTTAATTAAAGGAGATATTCGAAATAAAAATTATAATTAGAGTTATAAAGTTTTTAGGCTTCTAATTCGTCGTCTTCTTGCCAAAGGGGATTGGGAACTCCGTCTTCCTGATCTGAAATGATTAAGTAAGGAATGAGTTATATTTGCCCAGTAAAGACATTACACTATCTCACTGCCACAGGAGTAAAAGTTGGTAGAAAACAAAAACAACCAATGGATCATAATTTATAACAAATTCATTTATTAACATAAAAACCTTTACTGTCCACTTACCTCGGTGAGATTCATGAAAATAATATATGAAAATAATAACATTATAACCATTATAAAATCATATCGACTTTGTAACAGAATACATGTCATACTTTTGCACTTCAATAATCAGACAATAACATTCCTCTTTTACCAGCCTACTAGTATCCATAGGAATCCATAGGGGGTCATCGCTATACGTGAATCATCAACATTACCTGATTCTAGGGCCGTCCCCATACTCCGTCCAGTATGAGGGTGAAACGGGCCGTTCCCATACCCCGTCCGGTATGGGCGCCAAAACACATAAGGTCTCCATACCCCGTCCGGTATGAGAGATTACGTTCCCGGTAGGGTTCCCTACGGACCTGGTCCGTCCACCAACTCCTAGGATATATAGTTAGGTTGTCCACATTATCCATTTATCAATTCACATAAGCTTTTTACCATTTTCTTTGGTCTCAATCACCCAATCATACACAAACATGTAAACCAGTCATTGACATCAAACAAGACAACACAGTATCGGGTTCAGCATAATACAAACCATAATAAAAGAAATCATGATTCATGCATACGAGACCATAAAATAAATACATTAAATATCATACTGCATTTAATACTGAAAAATAGATCAAATAACAACTGACCAACAATGTATCAGATTTGGGCTCCATTGACAACCTCAATCAATTATACATATCTATAAAGTCACAAAATACCGTTTAATTATTTATTAAGCTTTAATGCCGTGATAGGAGGTAGGGTGAGAGATCCTTACTTGTTTCGGGGTCTGAAATCGGCTCTACGGTGCGCGTACGAGCTGTTCCTAAATTCTCTAAATTTTTTCCGAGAAACTGAAACGCACTACCGGTACCTGCACATGTCCCCAAAAAAACCTCAAATTAAACCTAGGGCTCCTTTCGGTCAATATCGGAATTCCGGCACAGCGGCTCTGCCGTGCTTCAGCCACGGCGCCGCCGCAAGCGGCGGTGATCCGCCACGGGTTGGCCGTTTTCGACCGAATTCGGCCAAACTTGCATTGGTCCTTGCGATAAAACAACCCTAAAGCCCTCGGTGGACCAAAAAATTACGAAAAACAAAGACTTACCGGTGGCGGTGCTCTCGGGTGCGGCGGCTTCTCCAGCATGAGTCGCGTTTTGATGTTTTGCTATGGTCAATCTGTAGAGAAAAGAAAGGTGATCACAGTGGTATAAAAATTGCATCGAATGGAGATCGGGAAGAGCCTCATCGAAGGCAAAAATATATGGAAGCCGCGGTGACGCTGCTGGACTTCGGCAGGGTTTTCTGGCTAATTGGCCGGTAGTTTGGCTCCGGTTTGGCCATAGGCAGATTCGGCATCGAAAAACGAGCCAAGGGGAGAAAATTTACTTCGATTGGCGGTCGAAAAATTCTCCGGTGCGGCGGCGGGTGGCGGCGGCTGGCTCCTCCGGCGTCTGGTTCTTCTTCTCCGGTGAGGCACTGGCGGCTAGGGTTTGTGGTCGGGTGTGGGTGGAGTTATTTATACCATTCCCCTTTTAATCTCAACTGTCCATCAAGATTTAATCTGAACCGTCCGATCGCGATTTATTTGGGATTAAATCTGGGACGTCCGTGCCTGATTGAATCTGGACTGTCAGTTATGCATGAGATCTGGGCCGTCCGTGCGCGCAGGAACGGATCTGGGCCATCCGTGCGCGCGGGAACGGATCTGGGCCGTCCAATTGCGCGCACGCGAATCGCCCACGTGGCCCGTCCCGTGTTAGCGTTCCTTGCCACGCGACTTGTCCTGGTTGGCCGGGACTGCTGACTGGGCTGCTGACGTGGCTGTTGACATGGCACAACTTTTTCAAATTGCGTTTTGACTCCCAGTTTCCGATTTTCTTTTCAAAAATACCCCAGAATCTAAATTTTCACCATTTTTTCCCAAAATCAATTTCAATTAAATCCAAAAAATAATTTTACCCTACTTTATCATTATTGTTATTTTTATTTTCATTAAATTAAATTAAATTAAATCTTATAAATTAAATATATATATATATATAATTAAACAAAAATTCAAAAACAAAAATAAAAATGATATTTTTTTTTTTTGGGTGTTACAATACATGTCTTGAGGAAGAAAATTTTCTTAAAACCATAGTACTCGTCTGTTTAGATGGAATTTCCGAAGTTTTGTATTTGTTCCGGAACCAACTAATGGTGGGATTGCTATTATGAGAAAAGCTTGATATGTCATTATGAAGACATTCTCTTACAAACACCATAACCTCAGGTGAGGAAGCCAATAACTAGTTCTGACTTCAAAACCATTGATCAAGGACAAATACCAACCTATTCCTGGCCATGTCCAAAATTTCTCTTCTCTGCCAAACGGATTGACAATCTCACTTGATTTCGTATGTCATTACTGCAAAATCATATATATACTGTTTCTTCAAATTGGGAATCATCATGTCTAAGCGATCATCGATAATTTAATATTCTCAACTGCTTACATTTTGAAAGACTTGTCCATGTCAAATGAACACCCTCCATACTCAAAGATCAATTCTTACGAATATTTTCGTCTCAAATTCCATTTGTATTTAAACTTGTTTTTCTCCATTCTCCATTATAGATTGTTCTAATGAAGAAATTATATAAAAAATTCAGAATCTCAAGAACTGCTGTTTGTAAATTTTTCAGCTTAAACGAAGCTAAGTTTTAGATAACTCAAGTTTAATTTAAATTAAATTAAATAAATAAAAATGAGCTTTTACATAATTAACAAAAATAAAAATTTCAAAGGGTATTTTTGTAATAAATCTAAAAGATTGCTAGTCATTGGCAAGTCAGTCTCAGTTAGATACGTGTAGGGTTTTTCCATAACCTGGACGTCCCTCTCTATTAACCTAATTTGCCCTTCATTAAATAAATCCTTAATCACAATCAATTACCGCAAAACATTTAATTAATCATTAATCTTATCTTAATTAACACGCGGTATTTACTTAACCAACCACACCACCCGGCCCTCTCTCAATCTCATCTCGCATTCACTGCTTCCCACGATCCCCTTCCGTCAAATTCTAATCCAAATTATATAATAATCCTCCGTAAATTCATATTCTGATTCAGTAGAATTTCCCTTGAAATTCTCTTCCTATTTTCTTTTTAAATTTTCTCTTCTTCTTCTTCTTCTTCTTCTCCTCCTCCTAGCAAAAGATTCAATTTCGGTTTTTTCTTTTCAAATATTTTGGCGGGAAGATCATGAGAATAGATGACGTGGAGGGAGGGTTTCGTGCGGTAATCGCGGCGCGGGATCCGCCGCCGGCAAATGGGAAGGAGGATGGGGAAGAGGATGAGAACGAGGAGAGGGACGGGGAGGATCTGTTCGTGCCTCCGTTGAACTTTGCGATCGTTGATACGGGAATTTTCAGGTCGGGGTTTCCAGATTCTGCCAATTTCAGCTTCTTGCAAACCCTAGGGCTCCGTTCGATTATGTGAGTATATAACCCATTTCCTCTCCTAACATGCTCCTGTTTCTTTTTTTTTTTTCTGCCTTCACTTTTTTGAATAGTTTACTTATCCTACAAGATAGGTTCGTATTTGCCTTGTATATAATCAAAGTAACAAGGGTCGGTTTATTTGATTTCCCCTCTGTTTAGATATTTGTGCCCTGAGCCTTATCCAGAGACCAATAATGAATTTTTGAAGGCTAATGGGATTAAGCTTTTTCAGTTCGGGATCGAGGGGTGCAAGGTATGCTTGGGTTTTTTTTTTTTTTTTTCCTTAATTTCATTTCCTTGCAATTTCGACGAGGTAATGTTTTGGGAATTGAGATCATTAATCAGAGGATGCGCATTCAAAGTTTATTGTTTACTGGCTATCAAACAGATACTATAACTGACTAAATAATTTGAGAGGTTGGTTTTGAAGGTGTATGAGGAAAATTCGTTTTTTCTTCGGCAGTTTGGATCTAAAAGGCAAGCCCTTAGGTGTCAATTTTATGCAGTTTACCAACGTTTAGCATCATTCGTAATATCAATAATAACTCTCTGAAATTTTTTTTAGTAATTTTTGTTGGGTTTTAAAGAGATCTAGAAGTAGATAACTGATCTCTGCAAAATTGCAATATGATTCATGAAGGAAAACTTTTGCTCTGATACTTTAGTGTCCCCTCTTTGGATCGAATAGTAGATTCCATATGAGTAGCTTGTTGTGGGATTGGGGGCTGAAGCAACTTCATGCTGCCATGGCTCTTTGTTGATTCTCCTAGAAGCGCAGTAAGCATTTGCGGGTTTTAGATTTTGTGAATACACATCCGAAGCATCTCCAGTTCATATTGTGACCCATCTTTCATTTGTGGGGCCGTCTGATTTTTTCATTTCCATTTTTCTCGATAGTAACAGTCTGGAACTTAAAAGAAAATAAAATTATAAATTGAATACGGAAGCGAAATAATAGAGTTAAGATTTACATTCCTTACACAATAATTTAGAATACCTAATAAGGTTATGGGAATGAACATTCTAAAAAAAATAAGCGAAAAATTAATAAATAAATAAAAAGTAAACAATTATATAGCTTAGGACGACCTTCATTACCATTTGAAGGGAGTTCGGGTGGTGAACTATTCAGAATCCCCTTGTTAATTGGAATCTGAATCTTGGTCCTGTTGATCTGAAATAGTAAATGAAATGGTAAAGTACATTAGCGTAGTAAGAATATCATTCTATTTACCGATACATAAATGAAGGTTGGTAAAAATAATAAAAACAGCTAATGGAGCTCTTAATTTAAGTAAATTCATTTATCATAAATAAAATCATTTATTGCATACTTATTACCGTAACGAGATTTTGAAAACCGATCTATTGAGACAATAACTCAACGGTATCATAATCTCATATTCAAGTAAATAAGAATAATAACTTTTCTTTTTATCTGTCTACGGTATTCATGGGGGGTCCATAGGAATGCCCCTATTACGCGTGAACCATTATTCAACATTGTTAATTAACTGACCATTCTCATATCCCGTTCGGTGTGAACGCCAAAAATATCATCTCTCAATATCTCGTTTGGTATGAGGGTGAAACGGGCCGTGCTCATACCCTGTCTGGTATGAACGCTAAAATATCAATCTTCGATATTCCGTTTGGTATGAGGCGACGTTCACGGTAAGGTTTTCTATGTACTCGGTTCGTCCACCATCTTTCAGGATATCTAGTAAGGCTACCATTCATTTATTCACTTAATTAATCAATTTTCTGTTTACATTTAATTTTCAGTTTCATAATTTAACCTTAAATCAACGCAAGACAAACAATACATGTATTAAAGAAATACAACTGAATCATTTTACCAATTCCAGTATATTGTCATGTATTTAAAGCTGTAAAATCAATCAATCAATTAAACATGACAATAATAATTAATAAACGATTCTGGCTCCATTAGTAATCTGTAATTAATTCTTAAAGTTTTCTAAATTACGTAAAATACTGTATTATTGATAATTAAAATTTAATTTCATAAAAGAGAATAAGGTGAGAATTCTTACCCGAATCGATATTCGAAACACTAAACTTTCTATTCTGCTTACTAGCGATCCTCGAGTTTATTGAATTTTTCTGTAGAGATTAAAACACGTTTTACGTACGTAGAAATACTCCAAAAACCCAAAAACGGTGTTAAACCCTTTTTCGATTAATTTCGAAATTTTGGCACAGCGACACCACCGTGCTCCGGCGACGACATCGTTGCTCGCGACGGCGGTTTACCTTGGACTGGTAGTTTTCGGCCAGTTTTGTCCTGTTTCGGCTGGTTTTGGTCGGTTTTATACCAATCCCTGCGAGAAAACATGTTAGGGGGTCTCAGTAGTCTGAAAAAAGTCGAAAAATTGACGGTGGAATTTTCTGGCGCGGCGGCTCTGCCGACTCACTTTCGCGGCTGAGTGTTTTTCTTCGGTTAACCTGTGGAAAACAGAATAGTGAACACAATGGTGAAAAAATCGCACGAAATGGGAATCAGGAAGGGGCTCATCGAATGCGATTTTTAGTTTTTCTGCGGTAGTGGTGCCAGGATTTACCCGCGGTTTCCGGTTTATTCGCCGATTCTTTTGCTCCAATTTGGCCATAGGGGTGTCAAAATCAAATTCCGAGTGAATAAGAAAAATTTTATCTTTTTTTTACGGTCGGAGGTGGTTTCGGCGCGGCGGGAGGCGGCGGTTAGCTCCTTTCTCTAGCAGGGGGCTGACAGTTAGGGTTTGGATTCAGTGTGAAGTGAGATATTTCTACTCGTTTTTCTTAAATTTGGGCCGTTCATCGCATTTGATCTCGGCCGTCCGATCGCGTTTGAAGAGAAAATGAATCTAAACACCGTTCATTGC